TCTTCATGTGTTCAATACTTTTTCCCTGTGCCATTCCGCATTATTACAAACAACTTAATTTCTGGACATTTATGGTTTGATTTCTTTGTATGTATGGATCACTTGGGTTGTTACCAACATCTGGTGAAAATTGCATGTCATTAGCACCTCTAGTAATATATTTACTGAGAAAAATGGTGACGTGTTCAATACTTATTTTACCCGCTGTAGCTAGCCTTTTATTATGTTTAGGTTATCTTTTTTTAATCATTTAACTTTTAGCAGCGGTTATGCTTTCTTTACATTTTAGCTAGCTACTTTATCGCTACTTTAGCCTCTTAGCAAGGCTTTTGCCTCTTTTAGCTATTTATTGATACTTTAAGCTATGGCGCTGCTACTGTATTCTTTTAGCATGTCATGTCATGTAGAATTATTTCATTGCTAACATTTTGTAATGTAGCGTTAGCTCAATGCTAAAAGTTTGTCATGTAGCATTAGCTCAATGCTAAAAGTTTGTCATGTAGCATTCGGTCCATGCTAACAGCATGTCTTGGAACATTAGGTCAGTGCTAACAACAGGTCATATAGCATTACTAGCTCCATGCAAACAGCATGCATTGAAGCATTAGCTCCATGCTAAGATCAGGTCTTGTAGCATTAGCTCCGTGCTCACAGCAGGTCTTGTAGCATTAGCTCCATGCTAACAGCAGGTCATGTATGTAGCATTAGCTCCATGCTAACAGCATGTCATGGAGCATTATCTCAGTGCTAACAGTGGGTCATGTAGCATTAGCTCCATGCTAACAACATGTCATGTAGCTTTAGCTCCATGCTAGCAGCATGTCATGTAGCATCATCTCCATGCTAAACGTGGGTCATGTAGCATTAGCTCCATGCCAACAGTGGGTCATGTAGCATTAGCTCCATGCTAACAGCAGGTCATGTATGTAGCATTAGCTCCATGCTAACAGCATGTCAYGGAGCATTATCTCAGTGCTAAAAGCGGGTCATGTAGCGTTAGCTCCATGCTAACAGCAGGTCATGTCTTCAGGTAACTTGCTGTGGAAGATAGAGCAGAAGAGCATGACGGCGTTTGCTTGTGCCAAAGTGTCGGTTAAAGGAAAACGTCACTGGTACAAAGCCGTAGAGCAAACAGCCTTCGTCGCACTGAGCGATGACTCCGCCTGGATCATCAGGACAAATGGAGATCTTTACCTGCAAACAGGTAATGTCCCACCTGTCAGTGAAGCATGTGGCACAGGTAAAAAGAAGACCCCTCTATATTCTGTTTGTTCCAGGTCTGAGTGTGGAGCGGCCCTGCGCTCGCTCTGTGAAGGTGGAGTCTCCGTGTGTGTTCAGCCAGGTGTGTGTGAGAGCAGGTGTTCTCTGGGCTTTGAGTGAACACAAAGCCTTGTTCTACCGAGAGGGACTGAACAGCTACTGCTGCGAGGGCGAAGGGTGGAAGTACGACACCGTCAGGTAGTACCACAACTGAAATACATGCGTAGTACTGCAAAAACAATTATTTTCTGCCAAAATTCATAGTGAGTGCTTGGATGACATCTGAAACATGCTGAAGATTTCATGTTTTACTGAACTGATTAAGTAAAAACAAGCAGAACAGTTGCTAAAAGCGACATGGAAGCTACAAAACATTAGGTCGACGCTACGATTTGAAAATCTGTAACTGAAAACTAAAATTAAGACAATTTGTAACTCCAAAAAATTCATCAAGAACAAAGATAAATATAATGTAATGTAATAAACAGTAGTGAGCAGCGCTAATCCAAAAATTAGCTCCGCAATTTCTAAAGCGCTTATAAAAATATTTAGGTCCACAACTTCAAAACCGCTTATGCCGTAGAAAAACTAGCTGAAGTTAATTTTAAAGCGCAAGTTCAATTTGACACTTACTAGCTGACAATTCATGTACAATATATGCATAACACTGCCAAGTAAGCGGTGTATGAACCCTTTTACAGCTTAATCCTACAACCGCCGATTGCTGGGGATGTGATTTCCTGAAACAGAACTTTRGCTCMTGGTGTAAAAATTAAAAAGTTGTTGAGGATTGCTAGTTCGGCTGCTTCTTCGTCTTTTTCTTTTGTTTGTTGTAGATTTTTCATTAAAGTCATTTTAAAAC